CAGCACACCAGTGAACAAATCCAGGACCAGGCCCTCTTCAGTCGGTATTATCACTCCGATATTAGATAATTCGGAAACCTGTTTTCTGGGGGGGGGGTTTTCATGATATGCTCTGTTTTCTTGAATTTAGATTAAAAACTTAGTAAATGTCAGTGTAATCCAATTTAAGCATGGCAAAGCCAGGGACAATTATGGTAATGTTTCATATTGCTTTATTTCTTCTCTCAGTTGTAGGATAAGGTGGTACAAATATCTATATTTAATTTTATTTTTCACATTCCACATAGTTACATTTCTGTATAATTAAACATAATATTACTAATGCTGTAAAGTAACAGTTCATCTGTCATGGGTTAACAGAATTAATAAAGCCTCTTCTCAATAATCCTCTTTGACGCATCTGATGCAGGTGCAGGGATGTTACATCATATCCCTGTTTTCTGATTACTTCAGGTGCTTTTGCATTAAGGCAGTAAGGAAGCAAAGATAGAAGTCTGTGCTGCTGAATTGAGGCACAGCCTGCACAGACAGAATCTGGGCCTCCGGTGTCACAGGCCCCACTACCAGGGAAGAGGTAAGCGCAGTGTAGGGGACATAAGAGGGGAGGGGGCTATGGCAAGTGAAGGAGTAAACTGACATAGTATTCATTGTAAGAAAGAGCTTATAGCAATTGTGAAGTAAAAGTTAGCATAAAAGAACTCAGCTGAAATGGGTATTATATCCGGCATGAGATAAGATATGAAGTTAGGGGTGAAGAGTGATATATGAAATAGGAATTTGCTTATAGGTCAGTGGCGGTGAAACGTGACATGTACAGCGTAACTTACTGTAGTTGGACAATACACAGTGTAGGCTGACCTTTTTCATTTAGAAAGTGTTCAAACAATGCCATTTTGTTGCACGGTTACATATTTATCATACTGATAACATAAAGAAAAATACAATACACAAGTGAAATTCCTAAAAGTAAATATAGTGCTGGTGCTGCAATCACCTTAGTGGGCCACAATAACCACTAAACAGATAGAAGTGATTAGTTAAAAGAAAGAATGGTGAGAGCACTCAAAGAGATTAAAATAATATTACCCAGAATGTAGTAAGTCTCTGAAATTAAACAGAAAACAACATAGGGTAATAACGTTATGAATAGGACACTTTTAAAATTCTGTGTTAGTCTCACTCACATACGTGGAGCCACTTATAAAGCTGGCTCGGACTGCACGCCTAGAGCAAATCACTGCTTGGACTTTAGCTGGGTTCTTCCCAAAACTGGATCTGATGTAACACCAGGAATGCAGGTTCATGGGCTTACACGATTCTTTATCACTCCAAAATTCAATAAGAATCACAAAAGATTATAAATAAATAAAATTATAGGAAAGTCCCATAAGAGAGTCCAAAATAATGCACCTGACGCGTTTCAGCGATGTGCCTTCGTCGGAGGTGATACAGGTGACTCTGGCATGAAGTCTTTTTAAATCCGTTCTTGGCGCCCTTTTCGTTGCATTCGCGGCACTTCATTTCCGGGTTTGGCGTCAGGACGCGTACTACATCATCACGTCCGGACGTCTCTCTTTACTTCCGGTTCCAGTTGCCAAGACGTGTTAGAACCGTCATAATAATAAAAAGTCCAATCATGTGGAATAAAAATGTAAAAACCCACAACAAATGAAGAGAATATCAACAAGATTAATAATTAGCATATCGGACTACCATATAACAATACTGAAATACCTTTAAAAACATACACTTTGTGCTTGCAATATTATAACTTATGTTTTTTCTTAAAACATTAATTCTAATTTTATATTATAAAGGAGAAATGAGATATAAGATCGTACATACATTAAATGGAGATTCAATTCATGAAGAGATAAAAATTCTAAAAAAATAGAAAAATAAAAAAACAAATAGTAAAATTGGATTAACAACTATACATTACAATAAACTCTTAAAAATCAGAAAAATAAATTTAAAATTAAGTATAGGGGGGGGGCGGGGCCTGACCGCCGAGCTGGGTGGACGTGGGGCACCTCGGCTCCTCCACGAATACCTACTATCCGGGCTTAAAACTACAGTTCTCCCCTGCAAAACCACACAGCAACTGCAAGAAGGCGAGGGGGTCCAGAGCACAACACTCTGTGTGAGTAACTGCCCCCGTCCTACCGGCGATGCTGTTTGCTGGGATTGCAGCCTGTCGTGAGGCTCTGGCGGGAGACGCGGCCGGTCTCTCGCACTTAGTCCGGCGGGACCTCCCACACGCTTACTAAGGGCCCCGTTACCCCCCCCCCCGTGGGCCGGGGGGGTTATCCCGGACCCCACCGGGGAAGCAGTGACCACCCAGGAGCTGTGAGCCGCCCAAGCAGGAACCCCATGGCAAAAGCCAAAATGGCCGCCGCGACCCTCACTAGCTGGGGAATGGAGGCGTCAACAGGGGAGCAACCTCTGGGAACTGCCTGCAAACCAACGTGGACCAGACCACCATACACTAACTGCGGACAGCAAACAATAGCACACTCTGGCAGCACATCAGGCAACTCCACGGAGGGCATGCTCGAGCAAAGCCCACATCTACGAACACCTGAGGCACTGTCCCACATGGTTACTGGCAGTCTCATAAGGGACCAACAGACATGGGACATAAATTCTTCTCAACATCAGAAGCTTGTACCTATTACAGTTGACTCTCCTCCTGCTGCTCCCTACAGAAAGCATCAAAGATATCTGAGCAAATATGGACATCCGCCCCAACCGGCTCAACGCTCTGCTGCCCCCTGGTGGTTCAATCGTCTTCAGCATTGTTAAACCTACCTGGACATAGTTAACCCTTTCTAAGCATGGTTAAACCTCACTGGACATAGTTAACCCTTTCTAAGCATGGTTAAACCTAACTGGGCATAGTTACCCTTTCTAAGCATGGTTAAACCTAACTGGGCATAGTTAACCCTTTCTAAGCATGGTTAAACCTAACTGGGTATAGTTAACCCTTTCTAAGCATGGTTACACCTACCTGGACATAGTTAACCCTTTCTAAGCATGGTTACACCTACCTGGACATAGTTAACCCTCTCTAAACATGGTTAAACCTAACTGGGCATAGTTAAATCTCACTGAGCATGGTTAACCCTTACTGAGAATGGTTAAGCCTCACTGAACATGGTTGACCCTGACTAGGTATGACTGGCTCTAACTAAGCACGGTTAAATCTTACTAAGCATAACTAAATCTCATTAAGCATGGCGAACTCTTATTAAGCATAATTCTGTTTGTTTATTTAAAAAATGTGCAATGTTTCTTATGCCACATTACTGTCACCACATGTTTCATTTATGTTTGCACCAGCTGTCGTGGCAGTGCAAAACTGCTTGTTAAATCTATGCACGAATAAAATAAAGAATTAAAAAAAAAAAAAAAATTAAGTATAGGGCCTTTATACATATTTATTAATTTCAAAATCAACGTTCAGTCCACCTGGTGTCATAGTTTCTAGTTCAAACTTCCATTTCATTTCAGCTAGACCTAGGATGTGATCCTTGTCACCACCTCTCCAATGGAATTTAATCTATGCCTTTAAATTCTATGCCTTTTGGATCCCCATCATGGGCTTCTAGAAAATGTTTGGATACACTATGATTGATGAATTTACACTGTATATTATACACATGTTCCCTAATCCTAAAGTGTGTGTCGTCTTGCCTATGTATTGGAACCCACATTGACAAATTAACATGTAGATTACGTCTTTACTAGAACAAGTAATAAATACTTTACCTGATATTCCTTTTTGGTAACTGAAGACAAAAATTATTATTCTATTTTTTTATAATTTTTATCTCTTCATGAATTGAATCTCCATTTAATGTATGTACGATCTTATATCTCATTTCTCCTTTATAATATAAAATTAGAATTAATGTTTTAAGAAAAAACATAAGTTATAATATTGCAAGCACAAAGTGTATGTTTTTAAAGGTATTTCAATATTGTTATATGGTAGTCCGATATGATAATTATTAATCTTGTTGATATTCTCTTCATTTTGTGGTGGTAAAGTTCACTATTTGTCTGCACTAGACCGGAAATAATAATAAAATCTCACTTAACACCACCCACACTTAACCATAATAATATAAATATTACTATTTTGACGTTGCCACCACCAAGACAATTTATAAATGGGGTGCCTTGGTCCCCCAGGTAACTTAATAATAAAAACCCACCAGATACAACTTAGCACAATACCTATGCAATTGCAAAACACTCATTAATTAGTCTCTTCAGGTAACGTGATTCTTTACCAGACAAAGACAGAACTTAATAAAGGAATATTTATTATGAGTAATCAATAGATGATAAACAATTATTTGCACCAACAACAGATAAAAAAACAAAAAGGATAAAATAACAGAAGTCATAATCACTTACTCAGGTTTTCAAAGTAAAACTTCTGCCTAGGGGGTCTCAGGCAAGGAAGTTGGTGACTCACTCAAAATTTAGATTTTGGCCTCAAGCAAGTCCTAACACATTTCAGAATCATTAGATATATACCCTGTGGATTACCAAGTCTTGTGCAGGGGGTGGAGTTAAGGTGTACCTATAGAAACAATAAGTGACCACCCCCTTGTGTTTCAGACCAATATCAATCCAAATGGAAACATTTGGTTCTATCTCCTCTTATGTACTTGCCACAGAAATAATACATTTGTCTATGAATTTGTTATAATTTTTCCATTCCATACATATGTCATACTCCTTACTTGTTACCCAATATAGCAGACATCACAATCCCTTCCCGTATGGGTAAGTTATGCAAATCATGTTGATTAGAAGATTGTGCTTGTCCCATTCTAAATATAATAAAAATGAGGCTTAATTATTATTCTGTGGGAAAGTATTAATCTTTCTTTTGGATATGATACTGGAACACAAGGCTTGTTTTTTTCTTTCTTGAAAGCTAATGATCATTAACATATCAAAGAAATTAATTCATCAATTAAGAAGTACAGGCCATATGGTTGAAGTCCGTTAGTTTACATTGGAACTAGACATCCAGGCATCTTAAGTGTAGAATTTCACACCTTGCAGAGCCTTTGATTAATCAAAGGATCAATCCATGTTGTAAACCATCTGCCCCCTTTCACATTCCTATACCATTTACATTACCCCTTCTGTCATCTGACCTTGCAACCAAGTGGCCAATTCATATATGCACTACACAAATTACATTAAATAGCAATAGTCTTTTGTGCAACAATGAATTATGAACCCTTGGCGTGACAAAAAACTCATTCTATTCTCAGGGCAATAGAAGTGGCAAATTATTTGTAAAAACTCTTAAGGCAAAGCGTCAATCCCCTTATAGCGCAAAAATCAAAGCAGAGGATGGTACCAAAAAGCACTCTAGCCCTAGCATAGCTGTGGTTCTTTTATCAGAAACTACAAGTAGATAATATTAAGTCTTTCCCGCCCACCAAAGAAGAACTTAGTGCATAATTAGAAGAACATATAATACCACTATTCCATGTAATACGTCTTCTGCATTAGACGACCCCATTACTTTGCACAAATATTAAGCTGCGGTAAAAACATCACCAGTAGGGAAAATCCTTGGTCCATATCGATTAACCACCAGATAATATTTGGCTCTATATTTCTTACTAACATTTAACTCTCGTACTGGAATGTCCCTCCATCACTTTCTGCAGTTTTTATCACTGTTCCCAAATATAGCAAAAGGAAGTTATGGGGATAATACCACTACATGCTGATACTACCGGAGCTTGTACATAAGCTCCAAAAAAGGTGATTGGGCATTTAAAGCACTTTGTTGTCTGTCATTAACCAAGCATACTAAATACTACACTATTAGTATTCCTCTTTCTCTCTCTTCTATCCACATATAGAAACAGTGAGGACGGAATAGATTGCAAAAGACCTCCGGCTATTAGAAGAATTTCTGGACTTTATTGTATTTCTTTTTTTGTATTGCATGTTACTTTATTTCATTTGATATATTCTATAGTATCTACTTTTTGTCTCATTATTCAGTATTTGTTTTATTAGTCTTTTTTATATTGGTGCAACCTGTACTTTGTACTATTTGTCTATCACTGTTCTACCTAAACCCAGAAAAGACCCTATGCTCTGTGGCAGCTACCCCCTATTTCACTCATAGATGTCGACGCAAAGATCTACGCCTCCTAACGGGACTAGTCAATCAATCAGATAAATCAGGCTTCATGCCGCAGAGAGAGACAAAGGTTAACACCTATAAAATTATTAATCTACTCATTTCAGCTAAATCTAATACTGTAGCATCCATCCTTTTGGCAGAAAATGCAGAAAAAGCTTTTGAAGGGGTTGACTGGTCCTTTCTCTTAGCTATTAGAACATTTAGGTTTCGGTCTCCACTGACTTTCTTGGATCCAATCCATGTATTCCACCCCTGCCCAGAGGCACTCCGTGTTTCCTGGAACGGAGATTCAGAAGTCGGATGCCGTCTGGGGGACTTGCAGATCAGTGCTGGAGAACAGTTTAACCCCTTAAGGTAAGAGTGATTCTGGATGCCTCCTGGAATCAGAACAACTTTGATTAGAAGAAGTTGTTATGGTAACCAGAGTTTCCCATTAATGCTTCTAAGATTTGTCAACTATGAGCCTTTCAGACCTTTGACAAATTTGGAAAGACTGTGAAAAACAGCATAATTAAAAAAGAAGGTTGTTAGCCTATAAAAGAAAAATCAAAGGGAGCTTGGTAAGAAGAGGAAACTTTCAACCAGACATCAATGCCTGAACTTCATGGGGAAGCTATCAACAGTGTATAACGGAATACAGGTTGATAAAAGAAAGGCTTGCACAAGTATAAGCATGCAGTCAATCTGAACAAAAATTACGAGTCTGGTTACAAGACGGTTGTTTTCTGAGTCTCTGACAATGCAGTTTCTCAGAATTGGTAATATTACATGGACTGAAAAAAACAGGCATCTATGCAAACAAAGCCACTGCATTAAGATGCAGCTATTTTGGTGCTGAGAGTTTCCCTTTAAGTCTTAACTAAACATGTATAATTATGTATAAGAAGGAGAGGAACTGATAAACAGTAAAGTTACAGAACTTAAGGTTACCCAATAGCATTGTAAAATAATATAAATTGATATAAAGGTCATGCTGACCTTTCTGTGATCTATGTCTAAATGTGTAACAAGAGGACCTGCTTACAGCTGGAGAATATGAAGAAGTTGCACCTTGTGCTTGCGACAGTCTGAGTTAACAGTCGCAATCTAAAATAAGACTATGTTTGCAGCTATTTCCCTATTCTAAAATTGCATAAATACACAATGCTCTCCCAATAAAGCAGAGACGATATTTGAGGCTACAACAAGTGTGTCTGTGGTTTATTGTCTCCCAAATACTTAAATTATGGATTATTGATCAGGAGCCTTAGAATCATCCCTGGTGGTGATTGATCCATGACAGCATTATTCATGGGAGGTTACTAAACTCCAACCAATCCCAATCACATGTGCCCGTCTGCATAATGTGAACATGTCTATTCATTGCCTAGGTGATTTTAACCTCTTACACCCATCCACTTCACCACTAACCCTTTCATTACCAAGTTATTTTATTAGTGTAAAGAAAAGGGAATTAGGGTAACATTTATTTCAAACATATCTTGCATATCTAGTGCACAAACTAAAAAAAAAAAAATTGTTAATTTTTTTGATAATTTATAAAACCGTTGATGAAATAAAAATAAATGTAGATAATCCCTTATCCAATGAAGAATCATTAACTACTAACTTGACCGCCTCAGACTTTGCAACTCACTTCACTGACAAGATCTCTACAATCAGGAAAGAGATCTCTCATCTTTCTTCTTCCCCTTACAATACTTCCCCTAACTTTACTCCCTCTGCTGTTCTATGTTCATTCGCACCTGCTACAGTGGAAGAGGTTTCTGCTCTGCTCCAGTCCTTCTGCCCCACCAACTGCTCCCTAGATCCAATTCCCTCGCATCTCATCCATACTCTGTCTTCTTCTCTTTCTCCACCTCTCACTAAAATTCTCAATCTCTCTCTCTCTCCTCTGGCATATTTCCATCGCCCTTCAAACATGCAACTGTAATCCCAATTCTAAAGAAGCCCAACCTTGACCCTAACTCCCCATCCAACTACCATCCTATTTCGCTACTGCCTTTTGTGTCCAAGATCCTTGAAAGAGTTGTGTATGCAAGATTGACAGACTTCCTTGAGTCTAACTCTCTGCTAGACCCGCTTCAGTCTGGTTTCCACGCTAAGCACTCTGTGGAAATGACACTGACCAAAGTATCCCATGATCTACTCGCTGCAAAGTCTCATGGTCACGACTCTATCCTACTTCTCCATGACCTGTCTGCAGCTTTTAACACTGTTGATCATCGACAGCTTCTTCTCATCCTCCGCAATATCGGTCTTCAGGATATTGCTCTCTCCTGGTGCTCCTCCTACCTCTCCCACCACTCTTTCAGTGTTTCTTTCTCTGGCTCTGCTTCTTCTCCCCGGCTCCTCTCTGTTGATGTCTCCCAGGGTTCAGTCCATGGCCCCCTACTGTTCTCTGTCTATACTGCCTCCCTTGGTAAACTCATTAGCTCCTTTGGCATCTAATATCATTTCTATGCATACGACACGCAAATCTGTCTGTCCTCTCCTGATCTCTCCCCATCCCTCTTGACTAGTGTCTCTGACTGCCTCTCTACTATTTCTAACTGGATGGCTGCCCACTTCCTTAAACTCCACTTGATCAAAACTGAAATTCTAGTCTTTCCTCCCTCAAGTGTTGCTACTCCTGTATCTGTCTCCCTCCAAGTCAACGGTGCTACCATCAGCTCCACCACGCAGGCTCGCTGCCTAGGTGTTCTCTTTGACACTAACCTCTCCTTCACGCCTCATGTTCAGTCTATCGCCAAATCCTGTTGTTTCCATCTCAAAAACATTGAGTGCATCCGACCCTACTTAACACCAGATGCGACTAAGGTGTTGGTCCATTCCACTGTCCTTTCTCGCCTTGACTACTGTAATCCGCTTCTCAGTGGTTTTACGTGCTCCCAACTTGCGCCATTACAGTCCATAATGAATGCAGCAGCGAGACTCATCTTCCTGTCCTCCCGCACCTCCCAAGCCTCACCTTTCTGTCAGTCCCTACATTGGCTTCCTGTTAGATATAGGGCTCAATTTAAAATTCTGGTTCTTGCTTTCAAATCTCTACATAATGCTGCTCCCACCTATCTATCCTCACTAATACACAAGTATGTCCTCTCTACGCCCTTACGCTCTGCTGAAGACTTACGTCTATCTTCTGTCCGTACTCCCACCTCTGATGCTTCGCCTTCAAGACTTCTCCAGGGCTGCACCGTTCCTGTGGAACTCACTTCCCTCCTCCGCTAGATGCTCACCCAGACTCCACTCCTTCAAAAAATCATTAAAAACCCACTTCTTCATAAAAGCGTATCAATTAAACTATTAATTGCTTCCGACTAATTCCTCTCTTGCAGCTGTCATTAGGCTAATACTATCCTTACCTTTTGTGTCGCTTTACCCCACTCCCTCTAGCATGTAAGCTCATTGAGCATGGCCCTCAACCCCTCTGATTCTGTGTGTCCAACTTGTCTGGTTACAACCAGGGCCGCCATCAGGGCATGACAACCGCAACGGTTGTCATGGG